TTTCTTCTAAAATCTGAATCTCCGTTTTCTTTTCCGATTGAATATATGTATAAACAAATTAGTTGAGGGGGAATACGGGAAATGATTGAATTTTGGCAATGTTTGCTCCGGCTGACACGGCCGGCCATGTATGGATTAGATCAAGAAGTGATCAAGATCAGGTAATGGAGGACTGTAAATTTGGAAGGTTGAGAGAGAGAGAGAGAGAGGTCAAATTAAATTTACAATTCAGATTTGGTAATTATTGAAAATGTGGTTTTTTTGCTTTAGAAACTGAAACTGAGAGGGGGGATAAGACTTGTATTTTAATCTCTGGGAGCTTTCTGTTTTGTGAGTAAAATTTTTGATAGTGAAGTGATTGTGATTGGTATCCTTGGAATAATCTAATTACTTTTATATTCTTTTCAAAGGAAAAAAAAAATCTAATTACGTTTATACTCATTATTACATTTAATTCAGATGGGTTGTCATGTTTGAAATAAAATTTTTGTTTAGTTTCTTTTAATACCTGAAGAAATACTATAATTTTTATCTGGCCACCACGAAATTTAAACTCTTCCTTCAAAAGACTCTTCCCCATCCCTTTTTGGGTGTAAATATTTTTTTTCCATTGGTTATATTAAAAACTTTGACTTCGTACTAAAATTACTATATAGGACTATGAATAAGAGGTCGAAAAAATTAAATTTCAAACACAATTCTTAGTCCTTCTCACACTAAAATTATTTAAGATTAGAAAGTTTGAATATGATTCAATTGCTCAAAATATTACTGATGCCTTTATAAATTAAATATTTGTTAATATTGTCATAGAAAAAGGAGGAAAAAAATAGAGATTAGGATACTTTTTATTTGAATCCCAAAAAAGTACAATTAGCAACGATGAATCAACTTGTATAAATTGGAAAAATGAAGTAGATAAAATATCATATAGTAGGGCTCCATGCGTCAATGTGGGAAATTTTCCAACCTTGTGCGATTACTACGTAAAGCATTATTATTAATTATTCTATTCATGTTCTCTTTATATAAAAGTATTCAATCTTGGTATTTAAATGTCCCTCGTTCTTATTCCCCCAAAGTTTGGGGCTTTCTAGATTGTAAAGGATCACAATAAGTTATCACTTCAAAAGTTATTAGATTGTTATTTTTCAAACACCCCCTCCCAAAAAAAAAATATTATATATATATATATATATATATATATATATTATGTATATTTTCTCTTTTCCAATTTAAAATTGTACGTGTATGTTTTCAGATTTATATGCCTCATCAAAAAAGTTATAAATATATTGACAATATTGATTATTTCAAATATGTGTTTGTATTTTCACTTTAACTTCTGATTCAAAATATGGTCTTTAAATCGATAAGATTTAGAAAGATTGGAAAAAGGGATATTAATTAAGACTTCTGATAAAATTCTGCAATTTTGGTAGGAAATATTTACCTAAATATCCCCGAAACAGTTTCTTTCATCTTTTTCTCGTTTGGATGATGTCATAAATAATAATTTTACTTTACTGTCTTTCCAAAAATTAAATTTATATATGCATAAAATCTTCGAATAACCCTTGAATAAATCTGGACACTAAAAGTTAAAAGTTGTTTAAAAGGAAACAGTTATGTTTTTATACAGTACTTTCACTTTAATTTATAACCTTCATGAAAGCTAGAATGTACTTTCAAGTCTATTTTCCATGTTTCGAGAAATTAAAAACAAAAAGAAAGCAATTAAATTTGCTCTAATAGAACTTAAATAATAAGAATGAAAAAATAATTAACAATAATCAAGTACATTATTTGATGGTAATTTTTCAAAAGTTAAAAATTAGTGGATAAACAAAGAGGCAAATAGGGTGTGGGAAAAGGAAATGATAGTCCCCACACAGCTTTTCAATTTCCACCATAGAATAATGCAAAATTTTAGCTTTGCACTTGCAAGTGGGGGTAATTTTCAAATCCCATTTTCTCCTTTTTATGAAAAAAAATAATAATAATAATCTTCCACCTCCTCATCTTCTTCTTCTTCACAATTATTATTATGAGCCATGAGACTTTGCCAAATTGCATTCTGTAAAGTTTGATACAGTTTGGATTAGACCTTCACATTGGTCGGAACAACGCATCTTGGCCCCTCATAATAATTACTTTCTTTCCCTATCTTTTAGTGACTTCTGATTTGATTATTATTATTATCATTATTATTTTCTAAGTTTGTCATTAAAAATGAGTTGTTGGGAGAAAAATTGGAAATATTTTTCCCCGTAAAGTTGAGGGGGAAGAAGACTGTTGTGGATATCTAAAAGTGTATTTGCGGCTGAGAATAATAATGGGAATGGAAATGAAAATGGAAAGTAGAGATTGGAATAATTTGAAGGGTCCCTTCCTTCCCAACTTCCCCTTGATTGGTCAGGTAAAGAGTCACTATCTCAATCTTTTTTTTTTTTCCTTTCACCTTTTTAATATGCTCCATGTCACGTTATTAATTACTTTCCTAATCTTTTTCCTTCAAAGATAATCCTGATGTATTGTCAATCTTCTCATCATAATTTTAAGACACTGAAGGGTAAACTTATTTTTTTATATATGAATTTCATGATTTTATATGTATCACTTTTTTTTGCCTAATATATCATAAGTTTGATTTTTGTCAGGAGTTTCACATCACATTTGAATATCAATTTTGAATTTGAGTATGATTCAATTTAATTTAATGAGGTTATATGGGTAAAATTTTCAACTTTAGAATATTTGAAAATGAATTATATTTTGTTCTTCTCTTTAGTCACAAATTTTTATTTATTTTTTAATTTGGTTGTAATCCTAAAATTACAAAAAACCTACGTAGTAATGAGAAATGTAGGTTGACTTGAGTAGGGTAAACAAATATTTTTTTTCCATTCATATTCTAACTATACGAAGTTAGATAAAGTTTCAATTCACCCCAGATTTGGTCATTTGAGTGATTTTATATATATATATAGAAAGAAAATAAGTCTCAAGAAGCTTTTTAATTTCATAAAGACTAAATATTTTATCATAATTATGGTGTCATTTAACTTTATAAATGTCTCAGCCTACATTTATCATCGTAAAGTAAATAGAAATTGTACTTTTAAAATGATTTCTTCTTGTTAAACTTTCATTGTCATTAATCTTGAAAGGCAAGGGTCATTAATTAAGTTTTGTACTAAAAAAAGGGAAAAAAAGCTTTGCTTTTCCCTTCATTACTCTCTTTCAAGTTTCAACTTTTTTGGGTTTTCATAATATTACCTTTCAAAAGTAGTTTATTTTATACTTTTTAAAATTCAATAATTTGCAATTATTTCTCTTTCACTCTCTTCAGGAGGATGAAAAATAAACAACTGCTATTTATGGTAAAATCTACAAAGGCGAACTATACCAAAATTTTTTTATCATCCTTGCTAAGAGTAAAGTTGTCTGTACGTCCTTATGCATGAACAATGTTGAAAATAATGAAATTTTTTTAGGACATAACTAATAATCTCAAATATAGAACCAAGTATATTTATGATTATTTTTTTCATGCCAAAGCGTTATACAAATTAGAACCTCATCACAGCTACTACTTCACATGCAACATGGTGGTAGGGCATTAGCATGAAGAGGGAAATTGAAAAATATAGTTGTGGACATTGATTTTGTTAGTTAGGCGCTTTCCATCTGTGTGTTTAATAAGGATACCCAAGCCCATTTTGGCGCTCTTTGAAATCCAAGTTGCACCTCTGAGCACGTCCATTGTATTCTCTTTGTACTTGTTTATCAATGAATATAATAATAATATTTTACACAGTTTTAATTCCATTCAATGAAAAATATATAATAATGTTTTAAAGGAGAGAGGAGTCGGGTCCAAAGAAAAGGAAGGTCCAGGCCCAAGCCCAACGAAACTGTGTGTCGTGTTGACCTTGCGTGGAGAAGAAGAAGAAGGTGGCGAAGAACTGTCAG